AAAGAAAGTAATTTATAAAACCTGTATTCGAACGTGGACTATCTTCTTACGACACTTTATAAAAAACCGTACACAAATCCTTGTAAGACATTACATCTTGTTACTCGTTCCAATCCACAAGGAAGAGCACAGCAAACACACTGAACAAACACTTGCTACGTGCGAGGCGCGCGCGTGTATATGTGTAATTACGACTACTATGTTTTGATAGAATAATACAATACAAAATACGCAGGAATCGAATTAATGTGAATTTTGGTAACGTGATGTGTCTGTTTAGTTACAGAGCGGAACACGCGTGCGACTCGCTAGAGTAAATTTTGTAAGAATTTACCCGCAATAAGCAACAAATAAATATCCTTAATTAATTGTAACCGATAACATTTAGAATACAATTAATTAAGGTTCTTGTTTTATTTTTGGTTTCGACGATATTAATATAATTTAAATTTAAAAATATTAAATTTAAAGCTAATCAATGTATAACTAAAACAATAAAATCAACATAAATAACCTGGCCTATTTTATTATAATAATTTATATATAATTACTGTTGAAGTTTATGTGGATGCGAAAAGGAGATAAAGCACGATATTGGTTGAATGCGATTATATAATTTATTAACTACATAAGGTTCTGAAAAATGTAAGTGCACGACGCGTTAGATCAGAGAGCGCGTATCCGACTGGCTGACAGCCGCGACAGCCGCAACAACAAGGAGGGCGCTGCGTCATACGCCGAACAGTCAGAGAGTGGACGGTGGCGACCTCGTCTGCTACGCCTGATCGTCCCGAATCGCTTCACGCGCGAGACATGATCTCGATCGCGCTTTAATAATTACTTTAGTCTCATACGGGCCATTTCACCAGATCGCCTTGTGGGGAATTTAGAGAGGCTAAATATAATACTAGGTAATGTAAAAGAAAGTAAATGATTTGAATTTCAGATATAGAGTATAATATATTAAATCGTAATAGGAATTTACGTACAATAACCTTTGGTAAAATGATATAATGATAGTATAAATTTTAAAAAAGGTGTACAACTCAATAGCTCAAGATATAAAAACGATTGAATGAACATAAAAGTACGAATATAATGAGAAGAAAGAAATTTAGCAGGCGTTATCGCCAGGAGAATATAATAACGCACAGTTACTCGGTATACGGAACGGTTTGGAATTTTACAATTCAAGACACCAAATATGTGTATACAAATTATTAAAAATAATTTCCAGTAAGGGAAACCCCACAGTTGTAATTCAACTACTGGAGACTATTTGTCTAATAACTTACGATGAATTGCACTAGAAGAGTAAACGACTCACCTAAATTTTAACGGTGTTGGAGTATTGTTCAATAAATTTCTTTTTCGTAATTTCTAGAATTCTTTCCCTTCTTAGAATATTATATTTGCGTGTTACCGGAAGTGAACCGGATGAGGAAGGACACACACACAGTGATTAATTGAATTGAAGTAAACGGAATTTATTAAATATCGAATTGAGCAGAGTCACGCAATAAAAAAGTTAGGACTATTATTACTAATAGTAACTGTTAACACTATGTAATAAAAACTAATGAAAAGAAAAGAGAAAAATATTTAAACAATGAAATGAATTTTCGTAAGGATATGAGTCCTTTTTGTCGTATTTTCTAGCTCTTAGGCTAGCGCGAACATAACTCTATCTCAAATAACACCTCACGGATCAGGTCTGTAAAGTTAGGAACCCCAAATGCAAAATTTTATGAAAAAAAAAAAGTATTCGTTTTTCCACGATTTGTCCACATTTGTCCAACCAAAATTTTCGTGTGTCCACCCTTCAAAAAAAAGTTATAAACCAATTAAGAATATGATATCAATACTCCCACGAACATTTTTCTTTCATTTATAACTGAGATGTGATTGTCCACGATATGTCCACGTTTGTCCACCCCAAATTTTCGTTTGTCCACCCAGCAGAATCGAATTATTAACAAAAAAAACATAAATAATGAGATATGATCGCGCTAAGTATTTCTATATTCCATTTTCTCGAAACTTAGCATTCGAATCGTTTGTCCACGATATGTCAAAAATTTTAAAGAACGCCAGAGATTCAGTTTACATTCGGCAGTTCGACGAAGTAAGTATCTACCTCGCATTACAATCAAGCGGTCTGAACGTGGGACCACGTTGACTTCAAGGAAAAGAATGCAGTATACAGGGTGTTTAAAAAATGTCTCCTTTCCGAGAAATGAGGGGTTGCTGGGATGATTTGAAACCACTTTTTCCTTAGCGAAAATGTTATCTGCTGCTTTGTTAACGAGATATTAACGAAAAACCCCGACCAATCAGAGCGCGAATTTGCCAGCCGAGTTTCCGCGGTAGCGGTGGCTACGCGCTACGCTTGTACTATGAAGCTCCAAACAAGCAAGTCGACATGCATCCTAGGAAACCGCATATAATAGCAAATTAGAAAAACATAACAAATCGAACTTTTTATCATTTTTCGTTTGTCATTTAAAGTGATAAATGAATGAAACATAAATGTAAGAAAATCATGTGTAACGTAAAAAGACGAATACACAATTATTTTTTTAAACAGAAACTACTTGGGGGTAGAGAAAGCCCTTTCGGAAAAATTCTGTCAGTCGGTTAGCAATCGGGCGACACAGATGTTCAGTTCACGGGAGTATTACGCAATGTTCTGGTGGTACGCACAGAATAACGGATATGCGGCTGCTGCTGTGCTTGCGTTTGGCTACGTAAAACATGTGATAAATTGGAAACAATCAGCCCGTTTCGGGGCCACCAATTTTCCTGACGTAGAACAACACGTTCGATTAAAAATACATTAAGTGATCGTGTCGGCTGATCAGTGTTAGTGGTCGTGCAGTGAAGTGAATACGTATTCGGTGGAATAACCCGGACGTACTTGACGTTACAACCCTTAACTTTGGTTGGTGAGGTATACCTGCGATCACCTCCGGACTGGGCGATACCCTGCCATAAACCGTTTCAGTCGTCGATGACCAGGATCGTTACAGTGACCTACTAACACATGTCTGCAAGCTGCGGGTGAATTTCTGAAAGGGTGAGTTCTATTCGATTTATTGTTGATTATTATTTTTTTAATTTAACGCAAGCTACATATGACTTTTTCCCAGCAATAATTCTGCAAGTTTTAGTACCAACATTTTTCTTCGGGCTTCTTAAAGATTCTGTTTAAAAAAATTATTGTGTATTCGTCTTTTTACGTTACACATGCTTTTCTTACATTTATGTTTCATTCATTCATCACTTTAAATGTGAAACGAAGGATGATAAAAAGTTCGATTTGTTATGTTTTTTTTATTTGCTATTATACGCGGTTTCCTGAGATGCATGCTCCTCCGACTTGTTTGTTCGAAGCTTCATAGTACAAGCGTAGCGCGTAGCCACAGCTAACGCGGGAACTCCACTGGTAAACTGGCAGTCTGATTGGTCGGGGTTTTTCGTTAATATCTCGTTAACAAAGCTGCAGATAACGTTTTCGCTAAGGAAAAAGTGGTTTCAAATCATCCCAACAACCCCTCATTTCCCGGAAGAGAGATATTTTTTAGACACCCTGTATATATAAGCTTATATGCGTCGCCAATAAGAAATCTATCTCATAAACATCAAAGACCGCACTGCGTTCGTTAGGGAGCTCCCACAATGTTACAGCATTATCGTAACGCATTCCAGCCGATGTAAAAGAAAAAAGAATTTTGTTCGGAACGTAACACACTAAATAAGCTAATTTAAACTAAACTCAAACTCACTATGGTAAATAAACTAAATTAATGTTATACAAAATTTTTAGGGCTATCTCGCACCGATTACATGTGTATGCATCGATGACTACCACCGAACTAACGAAACGTTACTCGAACCCCACGTAAAGGACAGAAAGGTAATAGAAATGTGTAAACAGCAAATGTAATACTACCTGTTTTTCAGCAGTGACCAATGCTCGTGAATGACCTGTACATATTGGGATTGTACCAAGGAACAGATGCATATCAAATGTTTGGCTTAGAAGTGATGGTGTATTTTTTTCAAGCGACGCCAATATTCGCATTGCGATTTTTGTGTCTAACGCTATACATATATAGACACTGCAACGCTTCCTCGGGAGGCTTTTTTTTTTTTTTTTTTTTACGCGGGGGAAATGCATTATGCACACCTCGAAGTCCTGGGGTGGGACTCCGAGGTAGTGTGGGACTCTCACCCAATAAAACCCCCGCGGCAGCCTACTCGGGCGGAACTCGGTGGTGGCGGGATCTCGTGTGAACGCACCGCAACCACCGCGCCTATGCTCCCCTTATCGGGGAGCCCGTTCCGTGGGGGCGATCGAACGCCCCCCAGAGGTGACCACTGCCCTGATCACCCCCCCTATTCTACTCCGCCGGCGTCAGGGGACTGCACCCTGACGTCGGCACTACCGGACCGCTTTGGATGCAGTCGGGGACCCCACCCCGACCGCATCAGCGGCCCCGGCGGACGCGCGCGCGAAGGCGGGAGTCACAGGAGCCGAAGCTCCGGCTCCCG